ATATATATATATCTTGTTCATATTTTCAATCGTTAATGAAATACTTTTTGTTCATCCACTCAAGTTCAAATACATTTTTTTTTAAACTTGTAGTGAATGACACTTGATGTTAATACAGTTTTTTCAAATATTAATTCATTAATTATATTTAATTAATGAATAAATAGTTAATTAATAAATAAAGATAATAGTCCGACACCATATGCAAAAAGGAAAATTCCTCGTTGTATCCCTGTAGCGCAATGGATAGCGCGTTGGACTTCTAATCCAAAGGTCGTGGGTTCAAATTCTCTACCTGGGATTACCTAATTTCTGAGAATGTGATTTTTATGAATGAATAAATAGTAACAAACAAAAATAATAGTCCAACACCATATATAGAAAGGAAAATCGTTTTCTATGTTGCCATTTAATATTGTAATTCTTTCATATATGTATATACATATTAATTGTTTTTGTCGCGTCGTTCCTCAAGGGAGGGAATGAAAGTTGCCAGAGACAGGTAGGACTTCTATATTCCACCCCAATTTTGAGGGAGAACACCCTGGGGATGGTCAGAGGCCTCCAACCTCTCTTTCCCTTCCACCAACCTCACGAGAGGACTTGTGGCTCGACGACTATTTATAGTACCCCCATGCCGCAAAGGCACTATACATTAATAAACATCCATGTCTTCTCCGGGATTAGAACCCAAGCCCTACGGCACAGCAATCATCTTTGCTAACCACTATACCGGATGGTACAGTGGTTATAGTTCATATTAATCATAATTATTTAATAAAAAGTGACTAAATAAAATTTTTCTTTGTTGTCCGAAGTAGGAATTGACGTAATTTTTTTATATATTACTTGTTTATATATATTAACTGATATATTTTTTAAAAATTTTAAAGTCTGAAAGATTTCTAATTTGACATTGAAAAAAGAAATTCTTACTGTTAAAAATATGTATGCAAATTTTCTCAATAAATTTGAATTTTAAAAAATATTTTTATGAATCTGTAAAACACTTCCTATGCTTTACAAAAAATGTACCTAGTACATTTAAAAAAAATCAAACACACACAAACAAACATTTATTGTTTTCCAAACTATTTCTTAGAACTCTTAATACATTTTAAACACACACATTGCATTCTACATCTCGCTAAAATTTTAAATTAAAAACGTACCTTTTCCCGTAGGTCTTCGCCCTCTTATTCAAATTAATTACAAAAAGTGCAGCACACGTGAAAACAGTCGGAATTAGTTCTCAAAGAGTTTCTTTTTCCCTTGTAAACAAATACAAAAAAGGGAAGCTGTAATTGCAGCGAGACTTGCAGTTAATAAAAGAAACGGAGTTCTGTATTGACGCCATTAACTCTCAGCGTGTTTCAGTGACCGGAATAAATGTTCCACAGTTTCACCTTTTCCTCCACATACTGCAAGGATACGAGTTTCTTAGCTGTGATGACTATAATTAAAATTACTTTCGCAATGCTAAATACATTTGCCTCATTAGCGAAATCGAAAGCTCGATCTTAATTTTAATCAAACGGTGTCGAAAGAGAACACTGGTACTCTTATGATTGTCGCTCTGGTTACGAGAATTTTGTTCCCTAAATGTGTTTTCTTCGGGAAATAGGTCTCTGAAATCCGAAAAAACATACATGTTGTCACTAATAATTGATTAGGAAAGCAATAAATAAATTAAGACTTCGTTAAAAAAAAACAAGAAATAATGAAATGGCAACATTCTGTAATTATTCAATAAGAAAGAAAATCGTTTGGCACAATGCACATTTAAAAATGTTGCTCGTTTTGCCAAACAATATTAAAATAAAATTTATATTCTCGTCACTATTGTGTTAAAGCTGCCAAGAGAAAATCAAAACTAATTTTCTTAGCTTTTAAAAATATTATAAGGACACCAAATCACTCTTTCCACACTTCTAAATCGAAGTAGTTTTAATTAAAATTCGTGCTACGGTGGTGGCTAGCAATTTGAAATAAAAAAGATAAATCTTTTCGAATATCACCGATCAAAAAAGAACTTTATTCTAACATTTATCCTAAACTTAAAAACAATCGAACAAAAAATTAGTGTTGTCATTCGCAAAATACTAAATAGTATTTGAAAAATAATAATACAATTTTATTACTAATGTTGTCATCTGAAATTTAAAGTTTGTAATATGTAATTAAAAATAAAAATAAATAAATGATACATTTTCAACAGCTTGAATAAACATTGAATGAAATCTATTCAATTTTTACGGACTTATGTATATATTACTAATTTTTCTAACTTAACTTTCTTAGAATTTCATTGATTTAAATTGATTTTCTGCTATAATAATTACAGTTTTATTTTATTCGAAATCATCAAGTAAGCTTTTTGAACATCTCCATCTCATACACATTTTGAATTCAAAGTTGACGCTTGCGCATATGCAACTCGGATTCTTAAATTCGCTGTCTGATCTTCAAATAACGTTGAGGCAAATATTTCAGTATATATGGGGCACAAGTATAAATATGAATATTCAAAATACTTTCCTACCCCAAAACACACTGTCTTTTAAAAAACTTATCACCAAAAATATTTTAATACATAAATATTAATTTTTCGGAAATGTACAATTTGACAATTTTCAACGTCAATATATGTTTAATCGTGTTATAATTAAACTATTTTCTTAAAAATATTTTTTAAAAATTCTGTATGAGTCAATATTAAATGTCTAAGGATATTAAGTATTCCAATGAACCATGTAGCACAAAACCCAAGAAATGTCAACGGTCGTACTTACAGATGTGATGTTCCCAGAACATTGTACAATACGTCAAAGGTTAATTTGAAACTAAATATTGAAGGTGCGTTGTTGATGAATCATTTTTACACTTCTAGTCGAACACAAACTGTGCAAATTCACTCTCATGTCCAAAATTAAGGCCACAAACATGTTTCTCGTCATAATTTTAAATTGCCTGCAAGAAAAAAAAACTGATAGAATTTGTCTTTTGAATATTTTGTATAGAAAGGGTAGTACAATATCAACCTTCAACTTAGGAAAAGATGTTGTTTAGCGTTAGATTTTGCAAAATTACTGGATTGAGACCGTTTAAGCATATGGTATTTTTGCCTGCAGTTTTGCGAATATTTCCTTAAATTAAACAAGTTAGCTAGTTTGCAGTGTGAGAATGACTTCTAATAATCGTTTAGATGATTCTTTCAGATGGAGAGTCGTTGGAAGGCTTGAAGCTGTCCAATCTCAAGCAGAGGTGGCTCGATGGTTTCAAGTGACCCGAATGTGGCCTCCCGGTAGTGGAATCAATTCCAGACAAGTGTTACTGTCAGTAGCGTAACGGAGAATATTAGCCCCCCCCCCTGCAAAGTTAGATTTTGAAACCCAAGTCGGATCTTACAAAAGATCTTAAAACCATATGTACTTGATGTCAGCCTGGCTTTGGGCCCCCTACAGTCCTACCCCCCACGATGCGGGGGTGTACGTTCTGCCACTGGTTACTGTCACCAAAAATGTCTGCCAAGATCCCCACATAGCATCGACATCTGCATAGGATCGCTACTTGGCTTTAAGCGCAAACCGCAACGCAAACGGTGAACAAAGGATCGCAGCTTGCTCGTGACCTTGCTGCTGTTCCTGGAAGAAAAATTTCCTGGAAAACACTCTACAGTCGTCTTGCAAAGATTGTCCTTTACACCCGGAGCCTTGTCTTGTGTGTCCCTTTGACTACATCCAACAGGAAAGACAGGATATTGTGGAGATGAAAACATCAGTAGTGGACACCACAAAAATGGGGTCGTGTTCCTTTCAATGATGAGTCGAAATTCACCAGATACAGTGATTCTCGTCGAGTCCTCATCTGGAGCTCCTTTCATCCCTCCTATATGACACAAATCGATATATTTGGTGGCAAAGGAATCCTTGTGTGTGGCGGCATAATGAAGGACAGTCGTACACACATGTATGTTTTCGATGTGAGCACAGTCAACTCACAGAGCTGACTGGGGTGAGATCCGGGAAGCCCATGGGAGGTTTTTATGGGCGCTAAGGACCCGGACGACATTTTTATGGACAAAAATGCGTGGCCACATAGAACTCCCACAGTGGATGAATTTCATGAAGGAGTGAATATTAGTCGTATGGATTGGCCCTCGAGGTCTCCGGATCTCAATTCTATTGAACATATTTGGGATGGTCTAGGAAAAGCCATTTTTCAGTATACCACACCCCCTAGGAGTTATAAGTTCTACTTTTGGATACCGGTGCACAGTGGTCACACTTCGTATTAGACAGATTTTTCCAAAATTAAATGCCTTATCTCTGATTCATGATTTCACACTTTTTGATATATCCTGTGTCTTAATTCAAGATTAAAATATTGTCTAAATGATTATGTTGCTATATTCTTTCTCACGTTGTAGTACTTCTCTGTGCTAAATTTCGTGGCAACACAACAAATAGTTCATCAATTTTCCTAGATTTTGTGTTTGTGACCTTAATTTTGTGGACTTGAATATAGTTTGGAGAATGAACTCTTTACAGGGACTCCTAAACAATGTTAATATAGGAAACATCCATTGTAAATTCTTTTAAAATTCCATCGAAGTATACTGCAAACACAACATCGTATCCTGAGCTCTTTGAGACTTCCTATTTCCAGACTGGCAGATCCAGAGGAGCTCTTTTTCTGGACATCCAAAAAACATTCGACAGAGCTTGGATTAATGACCTTTTTTACAAACTAATAATAAATAATTTCCCCATGTCTCCTAATCCAGTCTAATAAATTCCTACCTCACAAACAGAAATTTTCAAATTCGTGTAAAAAAAACCCTTTATGACACCCATAACATGGATGCCACGGCGACAGCTTAATTGTTAAACCGTGACATTAAAAAGTAATATTGAACAGTATTTGAAGACAATTTGAACTTAAATATCCCATAGTAATTTTAAATGCAATCGTGAACCATCTGTCAATAGTTTGTAGCTGTATCAACTAAATCAGAATGTGTTTCTCTCTTATGACGCGAACGCACCATTGGTTTATCTAGAAGTTAGCGACAATAAACAAGAAATTTTGTGGGTACAAATTGATATTTTAGACAAATTTTTCGAATTCTTTTAACAACAATAATCAATCTTGGGAGAAATATGGTAGATCAGTGTACATTTATATTTGCACACATACGCAAAACCCTCAACCAATTGAAAAAGAAGTTCAAACAGGAAAGTGTTTTGTAAACATGAGAGAAATATTTTTTAAGACACATGAAACATTCTTCATAGCACGCA